GGAAATCTCGATAAATTGGCTCGTTTCACTCTAGAGAATAGAGCCAAGTATGAAATTGCTAGTATTTAGCCAGATCACTGTTTTAGCCAGAGTCTGAGCGAATCAAGAGACAAGAGTATTCATACATTATTTTCAACAATGCATTTTTATTTCAAAACGAAATGAAACTCACATTCATATTGATGTAGGTTGATAGAAACATTCTTTGCATTTTGGGAGAATTCTCCTACAAGCAGATACATTACGTGTTTCCTTATTAGAAAGCTGCATAATGAATTACTTAAATCCCTATCTTACATTAATTTAACTTAAAAGTGAAGTATATCAACAGATAACAGCATGGGTAAGATCTACTAATACGAAAGCGATTATGAACTTTTGATTCAGTAAATTTGCAGAATTTCTAACGGCGAATTGAAGAAGGAAACTTTTTACTTCGTAAACAAAATAAGATAGAGAAAATTTTCAATTACACAAAGTCTTGAGAATGTTTTATTATTGAAAGAGGGCTGTTTTCACCTGACTTGTAAACAGCTGATTAAAAAAGCAGTAAATGATAGCGAATAGCTATGCAAATATTGCTTTTATATGTATAGAGTAGAAATGCATAAGAATCAAAATTTAGAGACTGTGGAAATTATTTCATAGATTATTGTACTCCAAAATCTTGGACATAAAATTTTGTCTAGAATTCTTGGTTGTAAGCGAGCTAAGTAAAGGAGCGTCGTCATGCGCATGCCATATGCGAGCAAGAATAGTCAGAGGCATGTTATGGAGATACTAAACCCACATCAGAAGCAGAGATATGTTTTTGATTAAGGTACCACCAATTATGTCACAGTGAAAATGGCCTCAATGGGACGCATTACGTGCTTGAATGAACGTAACAATGGAAACAATAAAAGTAATTGTCTGGCTCACTTAGCATAAGGATTTTGTATAACCCGATAATGAATAACTTGTTTCTCGAAAATTCCGTTTCTGAAAAACATGATTTTATCTGCCCAAAAGGATAATACCAAAAGGATTTATTTTCCTCTAAAGCTTTTAAAATAAATTGAAGTCTTTTAGCAACATCAGCAATTAAATCCGATACAAAACGGTATAAATGACCTCTGCTACTTCTCAACATCTTCTAAACGCGTAGATTTGACAGCCCAAAATGCTTCGTTTATGTGTCGTAATGTAATATGCGAGTGTGCTGCAACGCTCCTAGCCGATAATAAGCGGCCTAATATAACACAGCATACCCAACACAGATTAAAACAAAAAATAGAATTAAAAACATCAAACCAAAGTTTCCAATGTTGTTCTATTGCCATTTGTAAAGTTCGTCAAATCGTTTGCAAATTTAAACTCCTTCCTGCCGCAATAGAATTCCTTTATATTCCCGTGTTTTTCCCTAACATGTCGCAATAATACGCAGTCTTCTTCGAAATGTCGTGCACTGTCTTCAGCACTACAGAAACTACAAAGGTTATAATTTTGCAAATTAAATCTTTTCAGGTACGCCGTGAAGTACCCGTCTCCAGTAATTATTTAATACTCGTAGTAATCAAAATCACATATCATTCTCATATTTTTAGAAACTTCAAAGTTCAACAAATAATCTTTTCTTTCTTCCCGAAATGTTCCACTTCTTTTCCAGCAATCATAATAGAAATCCTTGATTTTACCAAAATAACAATTCTTTTTGATGCCTGAATATCGAACGAATCCCCGGCATTGTCCATAGCAGCCTCTTTGACCAGTATGTTTGCCCTCTCATTGCCTATAACACCAATATGGGCTTTCACTCATTTCATTTTCACTTCATGTACTTTCTTAACTTAAGATATTTTATATATGAAACGAAACTATTAGTGTTATCAGTATCTGTTAGTGCTTCGTTTATGTGTGATGCTGGATGGTATTTCCACCAGTTCCATTCTATTTCCATTCTCCTTCAGAAGACACATTGCTTTCGAAACAGTTATTTTTGTTGAATACTTTGAGGTTAGAAATTAATTGCTTTACAGCTTCAGAAGCATTACGTCATAATCAAAACCGGAATGTATTAACTGAATATGAAAGGCGTAAGTGGCACCTTTTCGATAAGTGACTCTCTTCCACATAAAAATATGTCCCATTTTCTTTTTGATTATGACATCACAATTTTTGAATTATGACGGTTTTCTTCCAAAGTAGCGATATATGTGTTATCAATTAAACTGCAAAATACGTGTACAAATTTTTATGAATCCCAAAGAATGATTTTAGGCGATTATTAATACCGAATTAGACGTATGGAATCCGTAAAAAAATTCTGATCTTCGAGTTACGAGATGGCGAATTTTATTGAGATTTATTACATGATGATATGTTTTAGTTTACAGATTATTCCATGAGTAGTACAATAAAGGGAGAAAACTGACGTTTCCTTTTACTTAGGGCGTCTATCAAAAACTGAACAAAATTTCTTTTAGGTATGACTTAACAGTGATAGGTGGTGTCAGTAAAGGGAGGACATGACTGAAATCTGATAAATGGACGTAAATCACCCAGGAAAGTTTCTCAAATATTCTACATTTATCACCACCTACTCCTGTAGAGTCATTAGGTTATTCCGAAAGCAGGAGACATGAAAATGAGCAATGCCCTCTCCAGGACTCGAACCTGGACCTCTGGAATACTCGCCGAGTGTGCTACCATTGCACCACGAAGGGTTGCTGGGAGGAGGGAGAAAACGCCATATAGCCCTTCCATGACAAAAATGACTGGAGAGCAAAATATCCGCTTATTTTAATGAACCGGGTATTAGCAAAGTTTCGGATCCTGAATAAGATCGTATCAAATTGCGCTTAATTTACACGCTATAGTGGGGCTTCTAGCGGCAATAAACAAATGCTGCAGTTTTTTCAAACACTTGTTAGTTTCAAGTTTCTTGACAGTTAAAATGGCTTTACTAACGCCCTCTCATGAATTATGGCTTACTAAATTGAAGTACGACGAACTGAAATTTCAAATAGGTTTATTACTATTTACGGGCTTCTTCCACGATGCGTTGAAAGATTCATGGCTGTCATCTCTTGGTTGCTAAGTTTCAATATAAATAAACTGAAGCATTGGGACTGACAGAAACCAGAAGTGGCCCCCAACTCGTCTGCTCCGTTTGAGTTACGCATAATTCCTTTAAGGAGCAAGGAACTGATATGGGAGTGTGCAATCACACGGCGTACTTGATATCAAGAGACAAAAAATGATTTATCGCCTAGGGCAGGGTTTCTTAATTTTTTTTTTTTTTTTTTTTTTTTTCAGTCGCGAACCTTTCACTGTAATATGCTATTGGAGTTTTAGGTCATTAACTTTAATTTCTAATTTTAAGACATAGAACAATGTGAAAAATTTAAATAAGTAATAGACAGAATGACAGCGTCACGTGCGAAGCAAGGAAAATGAACTTTTAGATTATAAAAAAATGCGTCAAAACGTTTTCTTTTTATTGTCTTATCTTTATCTATTTTCAGATACTTTGTGTAAAAATATTTGACAGTTGTAAAATTATTATAATAAATATCAAAACTACTAAACTTTTTGGCGACCCCCTGCTGTAGGTCCCGCGACCCTCAGTTTAGGAAACCCTGACCTAGGGGAAAATATAGCCTAGTAGGGAGTATATTTCAAGTCTGGTGGTCATTAAAGGCAGAAATGTGCGTTTTTATTTATTTCATCTAACGGTTCTACGAAGTTGGAGAATTCTTTAGATAATTTTTAACATGATTAGCTTTATTTTTGAAAAGATAGGTATTCGTAAAGTTTGATAAAATCATAAAATCACGCTATACCTTTAGAGCAGAATTTCTTAAACTGTGGGTCGTGACTTCCATGGGAGTCGCGGGAGCTGCAGAAGGGGGTCGCCCAACATTTTAGCTGTTTTGATATTTCTTTAACTTATTATAATAATTTTACAATTACCAAATATTTTTACACAATGTATCTGAAAATAGTTAAAGATAATACAATACAGACAAAGAAAAAAACGAAAACGTTTCGATGCATTTTTTTTAATAATATAAACGTTCATTTCCCTTGCTTTGTACGTGATGCTATCCTTTCGTCTGTTACTTAAATTAGAAATGTCTTAAAATTAGAAATTAAAGTTAATGACCTAAAACTGCAATAGTATATTACAGTACAAGTGAAAAAAATGACGTTTTCACTCACGCTTGAGTCGGATTTGCGCAATGCTTATGGGTTCCACAAAATTTTCGTAAATATTATGGGATCGCCAAAAAAAATCTCAGTGATTAGGAGTCCCGACTGAAAAAAGTTTAAGAATGCCTGTTTTAGAGCAGTTTTTTCAAACTTCGTTCAGCGGAACATTTCCAGGAAGATTCTCTAGGGCTCCTGCAAGTCAAAATAAATTTTTTAAAAGAATTTTTAATATCACGTATTCTCGGATATTAGCCATTCAAAATATCTGAATAGTACTTTTTATTTCTCTTGTTAGAAGTATCTAAAATAATCTGAAGTAAATCTGTTTTTATGAATAAACTTGAAATTAAATAATGATTTTTCTTTTATTTTTCATATAAAATGCACGTAGTAATGATACAGCTTAAATGAATTTTTAACAGTTATTTTTTCTTAGGGTAGTAGGATCTCCAGTTAAAAAAAAAAAAAAAAAAAAAAAAAAAAAAAATTTAGGGTTTCCACGAAAGAAAAATTCAGATCTAATGATTCTTTAAGTCAACGAACATTGAAATCGACTACCTTATACTGTTCAGCTCAGGTTGGCTTAAATCGCACTAGTGTAACTTTTAAGCCCGAAAAGCCTTTTGCCTCGCTTCTATTATACTCTCAGAATACTGAAGAAACACAACAGTAGAGTAAAAGCAACTTAAATTTACTTTAGATTTCAACCCGAAGTGCAGAGTACAGATTTAATACAAATTTACTTCTTTCTTATGGTGAGAACAACAGACAGCAAGTTCAAACTACGCGCAAGTTAAATTCCAACCTGGCACCTGCCTCCGTAAATTTCATGAAATATTACTTAGTATTCAACAGCAAAGAGAAAATTTTCGGAGAAAATACCGTTGTTACCAGGTACAACAGGAGCTGCTGTTAAGTCCCGCTGATGATGCCATTCCTCCTTCTCCTAACTTCGACTTTTTGTTTTTCTCATTCACAAGTTCCTGTGGAGTATACGAAACATTAGAAACATAGATTGGATTTTAACATAAGCAAAAACATACTAATCACAGCTTTTTAGATTGGTATGAAACTGCTTTTCATTTACTCAACATAACATTAATCGATCTGGGAAAACTGAATATCGGGATCTTTTGCATCTTTGCTAGTGATCTCAAACTCAAATTGCATGTGTGGTGAATGCTGCAATTGAAAGCAGTTGATGGGCCAGAAAATTCTTTTTGACAAAACTTAAAAATATTTTTAACAAAACTTTAAAATATTTTTAACAAAACAAAAATAAATAAATGATTAAATAAAATAAATTTTCGGTTTCATTTACTGAATATTTATCAAAACATACATAAATAATAATACTAATAATAAAAACACAAAGAAAAAGATTGAAGTTTATATTTATTTCCTCTCTGAAATCTATTGTTGTTGTGACTAATCTCGCTTGTCTGATATCAGAGCAAGAACATGAAATTCATCGTTGCAATAATGGAAGATTACGTCTGTCGTTGGCCGCCAATGAATTATGCCTTGGACACTATACATATGACAGTACGACTATGCTCAGTTTCACCCCTACTTTGGAGGAAGAGCACCCCAGAGGGACGCGCCGGGAATCTCCCGCCCACCCCCCTCTCTCCCTACCAACAACCTCTCGAGAGGACTTTCGGCTCGTCGCATATTTAGAGTACTCCCATGCCGCACAGACGCTAAAGAAATTGAAGCGCATTTACAACATTTACAAACGAACCATGCCTTCTCCGGAATTCGGACCCAGGCTCTTCAGTATGGTAGTCTGAGCCACTAACCACTATCCCGGTTCAGCAGCTATAATTAAAATGTATTCGTGGGACGCATAAAATTGCTTCGGGAGCAGCGAATTACGGACCACTTAACTAGATGATACCTTACAGAATGTGTAGATAAAGAAAATAATGTATTTCAATATCGATTCTTTCAAGAAAACTTTACCCTTGTTGATTTTTATCATATCACGTATGATTTTTCATTTTTAACTTTTGATAATATTTATTATAAAAGTAAGTTAGTTAACTCGTTACATATATTGTACTTTCCGAAGTTATTGCTAAACGCATTTAATGAATATAAGGTTTTCCATTAAATTTAGAGCTTTGGTTATTTTCCTCTTTTCTAAGTACTGATTTACACTCTGTTAAATTGGGACCTTCGAAAAACTTCGACCTCGTTTCTGGAAGGTTAAATCCGCTTCTTCATAAAAATATTATATAATAATTATTGTTATTATTATTTTGTAAAATGTACTTGGATACTAAATTTGCGTCTAGGATAAAAGGAAAGATTTTCGGCTTGAAAATAAATGAAGGAATACTTGAACTATTCTAAAAGGGTAAGGAAAGAAAGATTTATATGTTTATAGTGATTGCCTAAATGTGTTGTTACTTTAGGCTAGTTGGAATAATTGCCAGTTTATGTTTTAATTTGGTTAATGCAAGATCCGAAACAGATCTTAATAAAGATTGTTTTCACGAAGTTTGAATCTACTTTTATAACGAAAACTTTTACTCTATTAATTAAAAGCTTTCGTCTATTCCAGAATTAGAAATTAAACGGAAAAAATTACCAGATTATTTTAAAAGATTTTATAAAAAAAAAAATATTTTTTTAATAAGAAACCTGTTCTTACACTTTGTTTTTCTAGATGATAGAAATATCGCGTTCTTACTGCCAGGATTTGATACAAATTTAAACGCTACTGGAAAGGTTTTGGCTTAATTTTCATTTGGGAATTCTGAGGTGCTTCATAGGTTGCAGACGGCCTACCAGCGGCCGAGCGGTAAAGTCGCTGAACACTGGTAGTTCGGTCCGAGGTTTGAATCCCGCGATCGGGTTGGCTGCATGGGCGTTTTTATGGTTTTATGGTCCCTGGACAAGCGAATGAGGATATTTTATCTTTCGTCAATCCCTTCTCGTCCTCATGTGGCAACAGCTGAAAGAATTTGAATTCATAAATAATGCTTTCGTTGGGAAAGAACATCTCTACAAACAACACATTTAGGTTTTGGACAATTTTCTTCTGATTGTGGCAAAAGGATAAAACCATATTTCAAATAGTCTGCGATATACAGTAGTGCCTTACAAAGCTCAGATTATGAACTATACTCACCTTCATCTGAATTCGAATGGGCGAACGACGTACTTGGTTCTGGAGAATCCTTTCTTTGCACGAAATTTAGTAATGTGCCTTTCGTTTCCTTCTTACTCATCCTGGTTATTGATTTTTAATCTGCCTAAAGTTAAAGAAATAGTTGTTATAGCACAGTATTAAATTCAGTAGTTATTAAAAACTTACGCTGATGTATATTATTCAGTTGTCCAAGAGTGCAGAAGAATGTAAGCAAGATAAAAAGCGAAACCTAATCTAAGACGCCTTAAACACTACGATAGATATTCAGCGTTCAAGTAATCAGCGATACTCAAGGCAGACAGGGGCACACCAACTAGTGTACTAAGTGTACGGCACGGCAATTTATGAAAGGCGATTAGATACATAGTTGCCAGTTTGTTATATTTTTCGTCATCGATCATATTATTTTCTAAACTAATAAACTATTGTTATTGTAATGTAGGTGCTGTTGTAATATCTGTTGTCGGCCGATGACACTTTGGGTTTTGGACAGATAGCTGGATATTTCGCGGACCGGCAAATATTTCTTGCGGACTGGCGGTTGAGAAACACTGCTATAAGTTACTCAGGGCTCCTTGATTTCTTTTATCTGTTTAATCAGCAAGTAAACGCTCTGATTGTTGCCAGTATACAGCTTATTCTTATTGCTGTCAGACAACAGATATTGAATTTTGAAGTTTTATTTAAAGAGTGATTACAACAAATTTTTCTCATTTATCATACTTAAGAAACTATTAATTTCAATAACGCTCCGCAAATAAAACAAGCTAAAGAATGTATGAAAATCTTTCACGTTCCAGAAATTAGAACTCTTAAAAAGGGGAAATTTTTTGTCAAAAAAATTAAAAGTGTTTAACTCTAGTTATATAAAATGGTAGTAATGTAGCATTTCAAAATAATGAATAAATTTACTATTTCCCTATAACTAAAACAAGAAGAAGTAACTTGCGCTGTAACACAATATTGATTTGATTTCATTATTCTGAAGAGAATTAAGTAAAAGATACAATTCTATTTCCAATAATAAGACTTCGAATAAAACGTTTTTAATTCGAATATACCAGGTTTTCTTTTTCCCTTCTATGAATTTTTATATATGCCAGTAGACGTTATGAAGTTTTCATGTGTCTTGATGGCCAGATTAACTCACGTAGTATTTAATGAAGTTATCCTGTCCACTGCTGTCAGGTCATAAGATCTTTACATACGCCATTTGCCACATTTAACTGCATGTAAGAGAACTACCTTCCCACAGGCAATTAAAGAGGGATCGTCAATGAAATGCATCTGTTGCCTACATCCTAAAGGTGGTATAAATCTCCCTCCTCAGCTTGCCCTTCTGACATACGTTCCAGCGAGCAAACCAGACTCCAAATGAAACTAACGGGTGGCGGTCTGGGTACAAAAGGTGACTTAATTCCACCCTGAGGCTAAAAATCGACCGCCGGAACCAAACGACATCCATCATTCCTGGCCTCTCCTCCCTTCGCTTTGGCATACAATACCTGATCTTGCACCCCAGATAGGTCACCCCTTAAAAACATCGACTCCGCCCCCTTTCGCATGCTTCCTAATCAACACTGACACGCAGATTTATTAGTTTTTAGCACTTTGGCCGTCAAGGCCTGAAGGAAACTAAAAAAGTGATTTTTACAACTTTCTCTTTCTCCAAAATGTTGGAATGAAGTTGTAGCGAAAGCAGAGGAGTTCTAATGAACCTTTAAGCTCCTGCTGACGTTTACGATAGTCTTTTGATGGTTTTACAGACCTCCGAATGATGGTCTGTGTTTCAGCTGCTTCTAATGTTTGTGGTCATAGTTGCGGTTTGTTAGCCTATGAGTGGTAATTAAATGATGGCATGTGGATGCAGACATGTCGTAAAAAAAGTTGTATGTTTGTTTGTATTTTAAGCTGTAACATGCAGCAAGAGTATTAAAAGCAAAAACAGACAGAAGTTTTGTTGTCCAATTAGTTTTGGATCAGTAGGAGATGTTTTTACTTCTTGGAAACTGTAAGTCAAATGTAGAAGACCACACAGTTGGAGTTGCTGGGTGGACTGCTTAATGCATTTTATTACCGAATAAGACATTCATAGGTTTCACCAGCAATTTTATAGCATCTGTTCTTTGGCCAGGGAGCAATTTAGTAAAAAGCTGACAAGCCCTTTTTCTAAAAAAGAGAACCGAGTAGCAAGTAGGTAGGATTCAAGGGAGTACAACTGATTTAATAATATTTTATCGTATGTAATCAGCCCTTTTTTTAACAGCCTTTCAGTAACAGTATATTTTCTTAACATTGTATGAACTTTATTTAACATTCTTGCTATCTTATTAACAATAATCCAATTTAAACGCGAATTGCTAAGTAAAGTATTATGAGTCATTAAAGAGATTGATCACCATTTCGTTCAATACTTTGTCCACCTAATTCGCTTTCTAAAACCTTGGTGTTCCTTTTTTTTTTTTTTTTTTAAAAAAATTCTTAATTTCCTGGCATTTGATTACACATCGTTGCCTCTTTTACCTCTTTCCGCTTACATTCTTGCAATCCTTTTCTAATATCAAATTTTATATCATGATTAATATCAAATTGTATAATACCATTTCGCACTTAGCTTTACTATTTATTTGTAGAAATGTCTGACCGTTTCATGCATCAGTTTTAGCAGTAAAATTGTAATAAGATCTGAACTTTGTTTGTCCCATTTTTCACCAAATTTTGCTAACCATTTTAGAATTTTCAAAAATTCTACCGCATAAAACTTGAAAATGAGAAATGAAAGAGGTTGGTTGGTAGATAATTGACTTAAAAGAAAAAAAAAAGAAGAAAAGCAAATTTATATAAACAGTTTTTGAAAAACTCAGTAGCCATAATAAAGCATTTTTGTATGCGTCGAAATAGATTTAGATCATCTCGCATCACTTTACAACTTACTTTTTGATCATAAATTTTTATATATTTCATCTTATTCGTAGTTCAGATGAATTTAGACCAGTGGTGGCTAACCTTTTGATCTCGGGATGTCAAAATTCGGAAAACTCCAGCTTAACTCTGGTGCCATCCGAGAATCATCCGTCCGCCTTCCTTGTCATCCCTAGAACGTACCTGAGATAAGCACAGCACATATTGGCGATGACGAGGCCGTTACAAGAAACAAATATTTGCATTATGCAATTTCTGTTTCCGTTGACGGCTGTGGAAATGCGCGATGCGTGTCACACAAAATGGGTTCGCATGTCCCTCACGATACGTATTTCATAGGTTCGCCATCTCTCGTTTAGAAGAAAATCGTCAATAATGTGTAAGTAAAAGCCAATAAATAGCATAAAAAATAATCTGTTATTTAAAAAGAAAATCTTAAAGTTTTCACATTTTAAATTACGTTCCAAAGAGACTTTTTTCAACATTTTGTGTGTTACCTATATTTATTAAATATCATGTTCCCTTAAACCATAAAATTCAATTCAATAGCAATATGGAAAAAGCATTTCAAAATGAGCATATCTTTAGAATTTTTAATACAGAATCTGGCGTACTGGAGGTTTTTTTTTTTTTTTTTTTTTTTCCCCGTACGATGTTGCTATTGCTCGCTTTGAAATCGTTTAGTTTGTTAATCAAAAAATCGTCGAAGTGTTACAAAATACGAAATCGATAATAAAACAAATTTCAAATTTGGGCTTCCAGATGCCCATATTCGCAGTAGGATTACGTCACTCAAAATTGAATGGCTCTACGTACCATTGTTTTATCACAATGCGAGAAACATACATACATTTATGCAGATTCTTCATTATTGAATTTCTTCAAATATAATACAGGGCGATAATATTTGGTGGCAACGGTTTCAAAAGTGAAACGGTCATTCATAGTGATTCGACGGAAAATCGCAAAACTAAAACAATAGTCCCTTAGGGATAAAGAACCTTTAGATTAATTAAAAGTTGAAATACTGGACATTTTTTAAATAATCTTAATTTTCTTGCATATGTATAATTGAATAATCACACTAGATATATTCTTTCGCCTTGAAACTCAGTAGCGGCCGAACGGTAAATGAACCCTAGTAATTCGAACTAAGTTCTCATCCACGCGAATGAGCTGGCTACATAGACGTTTTCACAAATTTCCCCATGTGTAACGTGAATAACAACCAGTTTCTCTTAGAAATCCCTCCATGGAGTCATTCTTCTTTTTAGGTAGATACCAAATGCTTACTTCACTACAATCCTCCAATGCTTCGCTTTAGAGAACTAAAATAATTAAAAGTATTTTCTTCATCGACAAGAATTTTCCAAATTTAATTGATTCGGTTTGATTCGATATAATAAAATCAAAATGCGTGATGTGTAAAAGGTTGATAATTACGGAAAGTCTGTGATTGGTCTCTTGTCAAATAATATTTATGTAAGAGCTAATTCGTTTTCACTTTAATAGAGAAAGCAATTAGTTACAAAAGCAATTAACAAATTTTCTGTTTTAATTTGCAGAATGGAGGATGAAATCATTTAATAAAAATATAAAACTATGTCATTTTCAGGGTAAATAAACAAAACAAACAAACAAACAAAAGTATTTCGATGTTTTAGCTTTTGAACTCTACAGCAAACCTTGTAAATTAAAATGAATCTGTATTGAAAAGACAGTCATTAGACGTTTCATTGCCTGGTTCCTTCCTAAATTGTAAAAATTTTGCCGCCTCTAAATTGTGAAACCCGGTACGCCGGCCGTTTCTATATTTTACTGCATTTATTTTTGCAGACTTGAGCGCACGCTGATTCAAAGTTTGAATAATCTTTAGGAATAATGTTTATCTCGTTTTCATAATGATTAAATGTAATTAATAAGTAATGGATTATTTGCTTCTGATCTCTAATGGTTATTGAATACGTAACTTTTGATTTAATTAAAAAGGGCTGTAGTTTCTTTTTATTTATTTATTAATTTTAGTTTGTTAACTTAGTTGGTTTGTTTATATTTGTAGTGCATTGAATGAACAGGTTTCTTAATGGAATTTCTTAATTGAATGGTCAAGTCGACTGGAGGCATCTGCTTATACTGCATTGAATATTTAAGGTAGCAGTAATGATATATGTACAGTTAGTCTTTATAATCTTATAAAAATTGCCTGTTAACTGAAGAATTTGAAATGGAATCAAAGAAAAAGATAATCCCAGAGAGGTAGTCAGACACAGTTTCACTTTATTATTGTATCAAATAATATATCTTTTTGCGCTTAGTGTATTTATTTATTAAAAATATCTGATGCTTTTTCCGTATAGAAAGGAAATTTGGTTACGATGAAATATGCGATCTACCGCTTTTAGCTAAATATTGTTTTAGATGGCGCCACTTTACTCTATTTTTAAATTCGAGCGTGCAATAAAATGGCGAAAAAAAGAAGTGATTTAAACAACAACCAATTTTAGTGCCGTCATCTAAAAATAACTAACTAAAAGTGGTCGATACATCATTACCAGAAACTGATATAGTTTAGAAAGTATCAAAGACATTGTAGTTTATCGGTAAAAGTGCTATAAATTATATCAAAGGTAATATGCAAATACTACCATGAAGAATACCAGCTCTGTACGTAGTCACCAGGTGTAATTGCATATCTAGAGTTTTAGTTATGTAAGTATATCTTTGGAAGTGGAGAGCTCGGGTCTAAAATCTAATGAAATACACATGAAATTCTTTTGTAAAAAAGGTATATTAGTAATGTTGATATGAAGTCTTGCATACCACTGAGAGTAATTAGGTACTTTTATTATGATGTTTTGATGTGCGGTGAATCCTTTAAGGTACAATAAAATGGTATAATTATTTTCTTTTTTGTTGATAGATGCTATAAAACTAGTTGAACTGACTAACCTTTCGGATATCAATTGTACAGTAAGTAATTGGATACGATTAGTACAAATCTATACTAAAATGTTTGGTTCTTTTGTTGTAGGTCAAGGTCGCGTAAATCAGCTTGGTGGCGTGTTCATCAACGGACGTCCATTACCCAATCATGTCCGGCTACGCATCGTAGAAATGGCAGCTGCCGGAATCCGGCCTTGTGTCATCAGCAGACAATTAAGAGTCTCTCACGGATGCGTGTCCAAGATCCTGAATCGGTATCAGGTAATCTAATCATTTCTTATGGCCAATGCGTGTTACAAGGCCCAATTTCTAGGGCCAATAAATCCATCCTGATATTTAATAGTGATATTATTTAAAGTTTATATACTCTACTACAATACTACAGATATATTATAATACTACAAATTACTTAGCTGAAAATCCATTGCCTGCAACAAATTCCCTCTAATTTAATAAGGAAGGTATTAATATCTTGAATGCAAGGAAATGAAGGAATTACAGTTTCTTTGTTTCCATAATATTAGTCGCTGAGCTCTGTAGTCTTCTGATAGACCACATGTTTTATCTTTATGTGTAGTGTTTTACAGTTAGAATAATAATAATGTAGCCTATTTAAACTGAATACAGTATTCTTCTTAAGCAGCCTCCTCTAAGGGAGAGGAATAAAAGCACTTTTTTTGGTTGTCTTACTTTAAATAAAAATTTAGTATAGTGAAACATCGTTTGGCGCATCGCCCTTAAGACTGACTGAAAATTAAGACACTAAGTGAAAGGACTTCTAAAATGGAATTTAAAAGATTTAAATTTATCTTTGATATTTTCGTTTCAAATTCAAAATTTGGTTTGGAGGGGGAAATATCACTGTCAATACACTTTAAAATAACTACCTTATCCGAAATTGATTACAGGAATTATTTTAAACATTTTTCCTAAAATTGGAATTATAGAGATCTAACAAACATTTGAATTGTTTTCCTCGGAATACAGTCTATGCCATATGTGCTTTCTTCATCTCCATAATGCGTTGTCCTTAACGTCATCAACAGCGCTTGAACTTTCAGGTTTGAAAGACTCATTCTAGTCCATCAGGAATAGCTGCCAAATCCGTCTTTATCTTTGCAAGAATACGTTTCCTGTCATTCTATTCATGACGCGAAAACAGTTCTTTCATGAGGACACTGCTCTATTAGTTCAAAAACCACACAAGGTGTTTTTGTAGCAGTACACAATGTAAAGTATTCCAAGCTGTGGAATACACCTCATAACGAACTGTAGTAGCAGCTATTTCACCTTTTTTCTGAACATGAATACTTCTCTTCTGTTGAACAGTGTTTGGTACACCAGGATACCCGAGCAACAAGGCTCTACCCCTTGTAGAACAGTTTGCGAATTGCGAATGGTATGATGAAATAACCCAAAAGATATCTAAAATAATTTGTTTTTTATAATAAAGTTTTTAAAGTGAATAATTAATAATTTAGAATGCAAATGTAATCCTGAAGCTAGGAAATGCTAATTAAAGTGTTAAGCAATGTCAAATGAATGCAAGCCAGAAGTCGTCGAGCTGATGAGCGTGTGGATAAAGGCAAGGTTAGGCGAACACTGGTAATTCGAATCCGATAAGTAAGACATGAATACTATGAACGTAAGACTAAAAAGAATGCATAGCAGATACAATAAGAGAGGTTAACATAAACCGTAAAGGCATTATAATAAATATTACATAATACATACATTCAGTTGGGCCATGGGCCTGTTCATATTTGCTATGTCATTGTAGTCATAATTGAAAATCTTAATGGCCGAATTTTTAATTGTTCTTTATCTTTCGTGAAAGCTTTTAGCAAGTTTATAATAATATGAGCGTAGTTGCTCCATACTCAGTTCTTCGTGAATTTTATTGTTGCGGATCCGCTCCGCTTTAACTATCTGCCTAAGAACAGAATTTTGGCAAGTATGTAGTTTTTTCCTATTACATTTTTTTGGTATAAGCCCAAACTGGACTAGCATAACATAGTAATGGACGGAGAATGGACTTATAGATGAGTAACTTGTTGTCAATTGATAAAACACTGTTTCGAGCAATTAAAGGGTATCGTTTAGTTACGAACTCGAAACTTTTGGATAATGGATGTAATTTGTGGGACCCATGTAAGAGTTTTGTTGAGGATAACCCCAAGATAAGGGACCTGTTTGGCCCAAGAAATAGGGGTGCCACTGAAGATGAGATTTTTCTTGAATTTGCTTTTTTTGGTGAACATAATAGCCAGTGTTTTATCCACGTTGACTTGAATTTTCCATTTTGTAAGCCAAGTCTCTAATGAATGGATATAGTTTTGTAACCGTTGAATGACTGGAGCTATGAATGCACTTTGTGCTAGGATCGCAGTGTCGTCTGCACACATAGTTAATGTTGTGTCCTGTGTGGATGGTATGTCATTCACGAAAATATTAAAAAGTATGGGTCCAAGTAAAGACCCTTGTGGAACGCCAGCCTGGAGGGCATGGCTTGTGGAATTTGTACCAGAAACGTGAACGACGAAGTGTCTACCGGTTAGGTAGAAATTAATAATGTTAATGATGTATCCTGGGAAGCCCAGGGCGTGTAATTTGTAGGTGAGAGCGTCTAGCCAGACTCGGTCAAAAGCCGTAGCAATGTCTAGAAACAATCCTCCAGTGATCTTGCGTGTTGCCATTTCCTCGGAGATGATTTCTACCACTCGGTAGACCTGGTTAGTTGTTGACAGTTGCTTCATTAAACCAAACTGGTGTGGCTTGATGATATTGCTTTCTATGTAGTCATTGATTCTCTTGAGCTTCACAAATTTTACTGATGGAAGAGAGTAAACTGATAGGGCGATAAGACTCTGGCTTAGATGAAGGTTTTCCGAGCTTGAGGATCGGAATGATCTTCGCAGTCTTCCAAGTTGAGCAAAGTATTACTATTTTAGAATAAGGTTGCAAATTCTAGTAATAGTGAAAATGGTCTTGACTGGAAACTTTTTTATATCATACAATTGGCGATGAAATCTACGCTAGGACTTTTCTTTTTCTTGATTCTTTTGATGTATGCATAGACTTCTGAGGGTAAGGCTGGAATAATATTGTCAGTGCTTGGATTTGTTGGAAAGTTGCAGTGAAACCTATGAACTAGATTTTCTGTTGTAGTGTCATGAATGTTGTTGGTGCGAATTGAGATTCCAGATGCATAGCTAACAGTTCTGCTTTCTCAATTTCAGTGTAATGGATCCTTTGCGCCTTTAAGAGGCAGAATATTATTGTGGCATTTCGTATACCTTTTAACGGCTTTCCGCAAGGAATTGTCATCAGCTGAAAGTGAACTGAGGTAGTTGGTCCAGTCTTGTTGTGTTTGGGTATTTAAAAGAGACTTGACAGTATTGCAAAGCCTGTTGAATATGTTATTGTCCTCCCGGCTACGGGTTCGCTGGAAATGCCTTCTGGCTGTTCCCGGCTACGGAAGAAATGCCTTCTGGCTGCATTACGTTGTTTTTATTAACTGCTGTAATTCCTTGCTTCTGTAGTTACGTTTTCTTGGTAGCTCTCTTCTTGCTTTTTTCTGAGCAGTAATAATGGCAATTGTGAAGTTCTGAATTAAACTATCAGTATCATCCCCTTGAGTGTATCGTTGGGAGTGTGTATTGAATGTCGTTTAGAGCTTTGGCGAACTTGTGTCACTCAGTAGTGAAGGCTCTTGTGTCTGATGAGGTATAACTGCTAATTCCAGAATCATTCTAACCGGAAACATGAATACTTCTGGCTTCATCGTCTTTTAAGACAGTTTTTTGAAAGGGGGGTTGAAGATCCCTTGATAAAATTTTACTTCATTCCTAAATTATTTTTAACTTTGTTCCACTGGCAATACAGAGGTATTTACATGGATATGAGTGAACCACTTATACGAATATTGACTTTTGAGTTGATTTTCTCCTGAAAACATCTTTCTGTTATTACTTGTTTCATTACCAATAATGTAATTTCCAGATTCCCCTAAGAATGATTTGGAGGTCAGCAGATTGCTAAATCTTTCTTAGTCTGTATTTCTTTTAACACAGAAAACTCTTATTTAATATGGTCAATATAATGGTATCTGCTTATTAACAGAGCACAGTTTACAAAATCATTAATTGTGTGAAATATTCGAGGATATGCAGGGTGTTTGTTAAGATTACACAAATTCAAAATATTGAAAATGAAACTATAGAAATCCTGTTTTTGAAAAGTATGTCAAAAATTTTTACAACGAATGTCACAAAACTATTACAACGAATATTCATAACACAAAAGCCAAAGTTATTTAGCGTACATTCATTAAATCTAATCATGAGCTGTTTGGGTTGCAAGAATATTAAATCTTTCTGAAATTAAGTACTTAAGCAGAGGCAGTGACTAAGTTTATCGCATCCTTGTGCAACTCTTATTAACCCAAGCTTTTAATTTTTTAAATTTTAGATAAAAGTGCCGGTGTGTCTAAAGACGATAAAAGTAAGCAAATAAAAGAATTTAAAAAAACTATTAAAAAAAGCACTGTAAAAATAAATAAAAAAGTAAAAATTTAAATTAATGATGAAAATTTAATGAAATGGTAAATGGAAAGCAAGAAAGTTAAGGATGGTGAAAACACTAATACAGAAGATAAAAAAATCTCATGTATGCACCACGCGACTTCCTTCCACGGAATATTAAATTATACGCATTTTCCCCTGCATTTCATGTAAACTTATTGAATTGAATTAAATCTACTTCGTCGATAGCGCATAAACTACAATAGAATAAATCTATTCTTTCAAATTCACTATATTTATTTAAAATAGCCACACTCTGGCGCTAGATTCACTTAACAGCGTTACATCTTCATTTTTTTAACTGAGAATGTGAAACAAAATTATATCATCTGATCTAATCGTCGTCACATGTTCTATTCAAATACTATAATAAATCTAAAACGATGTATAAAAGAAATTAGACAAATAAAAAGAAACAGTTGTTGTTGCGAAACTTATTTTCTTTAAATTGGCTACAAATCCACTATTCTGCTAAGTTTGAAATGTAAGCAAATATGTCTGCTATGGTAAAAAAAATTAGGCTTAGCTGCACTTAAACAACTTTTAAATTGGTAATAATTCTACAAATATTGCATGCAAGTTAACTAAAGGCATAAAAACCTTAACCGGAAGATAAGAGAACATATTTAAATCATTTTTAAGCAAAAAATACGCAATTTACCAGCATATAAGAATAAA